AATGGTGTTATGACTTAGGGATTCCCTGTGTGTGCTCCAACCCCTGGCCTCCTAGTCGTTCATGGAGCTGCACCGCAATGTATCTTCCTTCTTTGTCTCACCTCCAGCATGAAAATGAGTCAGTGCTGAGCCTGCATAGGAAGTCCTCGGTGTGGACACATAAAGTATTTACAATTGAAACCATAGTGGAGCCCCTGGTGCCTGCCTTCCAGGACAGTAACACTTCTTATATCTCTACCTTTCTGTCTACTTACTGGTACTTTGGGACCACCAAACCGGTCTTAGAGGTCCTTTTCAAAAAGTAAGTGCCTGACCCTTCTACAGCACAGTGGCGACTTTGCCACCTACTAGCTATGCATCTTGGGAATGTCACTTCACCTCTCTGAGTTTTCTTTGCTCCTCTTAAAAGTGGGAACGCAAAAGGATCCCCAGTATAGGGTTATTGTAAGGACTAAGTGGGATGGCCATGTGAAGTGATTGCTGAGTGCTTCTGGAGAGGCTGTGGTTGTTCATATTATTCATGTTCCTCTCCTCCATGAGGAAGCTCTCTGCCTCACCCCTCACTGACACCAGAATCGTGGCAAAACTTTTTCCCCATTTAGAAATAAGGGTTGAGATTCCATCTTGGGGTCCTTGTCACTGGAGTAAGAAGCCCTAAGGGGATAGACCATGTGGCCTACTCAGATAACTGGGAAGGTGCAGACAGTGGCTCATTACTTCTTCAGATGTGTATTAAACGTACACCATTTGCAGGTATATTCTAGGCAATTAGCATCATTCCTTGAGCAAAGTACACACAAACCCTGCCCTCCTGAGCTTACATTCTAGTCATGTATCAGACAGAAACAGTAGACTTCACAAGCAGGTATGTACACAGGACATTGTTGTGAAACATGGCCTCTTCTAGATGTGGATACATCCTCGGGAATGGCTGACCCCAGGACCAAATAAAAAAGTGAATGGACTTGGCATCAAGCAGGAGGGGTTCCTTTCTCCACAGACCACTGGGAAGGGTAGAGGGAGATGTGCCTGGGGAAAGGCTGGGCAGAATCCTGGCTATCATACTTCTTATGATTCCCACTAGAGGGCTGAAGTCTGTGGATGCCCCCTGCAACAGAAAAGGATTCAAAGAGCTGAGGATGGGGTCCAAAGCTCCTGTTAGAATACGTGGGCAGCAGGCTCAGAAAGGGAACCTGAGAAGACCCATCCCCACCCCAGCCCCTTCTCAACTCAGCTTGCCCCCATCACACTACCACCCTAGGGCCCAGAACAGGTGTAGTGTCCAACCTGCTCCCCAACCTGGCTCAGACCTCAGGGCTGTGTGGCAGCTGCACGTGGTGCTGGGGCAGGCTGCAACCCTGCCCATTGGGAACACGGTGTCAATGGGAGATGGGACCACACATGGAATGGGGAGAATAAGGCAGCATGTGGGTGCACAAATTAGATGTCGAGCTGTCACGAGGGCCCTGGGAAGATGGCGGCAGGAGGACAGACTCCACTGTTCTCTCATCCATCAGACATTTATTGAGCACCTACTGTGTATCAGCACAGAGCAATGAGCAGAGCACCCAAACCCCCTGCCCTCCTGGTGTTTACCATCCAGGAGGTAGGGTCCAGAGTAGACACACAGAATAGATCAGGCTTCCTGTAGAATGGGATACTTGGTGAGACCATGGATCCAGAGCTACCTATGATGCAGGCTGTTTTCCAGCCCCCTGCACAGAGACCAGGCTGCCACTGCCAGCATAGCCAGAGTAGGGGATGGGGGGAACCATGGGGTGGGGCTGGCCTCTGAACGGGCAGGGCCTGGCAAGTAGGCCAACTCGCAACAGAGATCCCATTGGAGGATGCATGGAAGGAAAGGCCAGGCCTCTGACTATGCTGCCCACCCACTTGCCCCCAGGGCCATCTCTGCCATCCTGGGCCTCTGGCTGAGCCAATACCCAGAAGATTTCTATGAGCTCCCGGATTTTCCCTGCCTCCGGCTGCTGGTAGACTACGCAAGGCTCAATATGCCTGCATCAGAGCTGGAGGAATGTGCCCCCCTTCTCCTGGCACACATGGAGCACCCAGAGTCCACTGAAGCAGAGCCAGAGGGTGAGGTAGAATGAGGGAGGGTGTATTAGAGCATGTGGGCTGGGGGACTGGCTGGGTACACAGGGAGGTTGCTCCCAATTTTTGGTTGGGAAAGGAGCAAAGACTAGCCTCAGATTACTCATCTTGTGGACTGCTGTCTGGGAAGGCTTTCTGGAAGAGGAGTTCTTGAACTGGGGCTGCTCACAAAGGAAGGGCATGGTTTCTATATTTGGAAAAGCATATGGAAAGCCATTTCTGTTGGTGAAATTCTCCCTCTTTCCAGCTCCAGAACCAGCTCCATTGCCAGCCCCAGCAGTTACACCAGAGCTCGGGCCAGTGGCAGCTCCAACACCAGAGCCTTCCTGGCCCTCACTTGTGAGCACAATGCATAGGCTGAGACAGAAGGAGAAGCTGAACATCTTGTCATTCCCTCCCAAGCTGGTGGCAGAGCAACTAACAAGGATGCACATGGTAAGCAGCTGGGCTGGTGGGGTGAGCCTGGAGCAGACCTTCATTCTGGCTTTAGAGGCCCAAGACTTGTTTTTTCCTGATCTGGATCCTGTGATCTGCATCCAAATCCAAGCATGAGGTTTATACACGTTTCTTAACCCCCTCGGCTGCTGTCCACGTATGGATAGTAGACACAGGCTACTGACACATCCTGGTGCATAGAGTGACTGTGAAGATTCAGTGAGATAGGAGAAAGACTCATCTTAGCAGGGGACAGCTTCTTAAAGGGCCGAGTGGTACTCCCTGATGGACACTCAGTTCATGGGTGGACCACCCTTGTGACCAGCGGTCCTCACCAACTTCAGTACTAATTAGACACCTAATGTGTACAATGCTCTGTGGAAAACTTCCAAACAAAGCCTGTAGTTGTAACACCCAGGGAGCATGTGCATCTGAATGGGGTGACAGACCAAAAGGGCTTATCAAGATGGGCAGAAGGTGCTACCTGGGTATGTGCAGGCTGGAGCCACCTTGTGGTGCTTTATTAGTGAGGATGGCACTGGTGACAATACTGTGCTCTCTTCCCTGCCAGCAATGAACACTGGCACACTTATTTGCTGGGTGCACACAATGGGAGAGAACAAATCCAAGACACACCAAAAGGCTTAAGCCACATCCACAGCTTCCAGAGCTCCAGCTCAGACCAATGGGCCCTGGCCTAGGACTGTGAGACTGTAGGCTCTGAGCTAGGGTGGAGAATGTCAAGTGACACTTCTCCTCCTCTCCAGGAGCTATTCAAGAAGGTGGTGCCCTATGACAGCCTAGGCTCCATCTGGTCCCAGAGGAACAAGAAGGGCAAGGAACACCTGGTGCCCACCATCTGTGCCACTGTCACACAGTTTAATAGCATGGTCTACTGTGTAATCACCACCTGCCTGAGGAACAGCAGCATGAAGGCCCCAGACGGGCTACGGTGGTGGAGAACTGGATCGAGGTGACCAGTGTAGGCTGTGGGTGAGCCCAGGGTACCTCATCATCCAGTTCTGGGAACTCCCTCTTCTCTTGGGTCAGCCTTCAGAATTGGGGTCTGTGGTTGAAGCCCCTACACAGACCCTAGTCCCCTCTTGTGCAGTGGCACACTGGCCATGACTTGCTTGTGCCACTGAGCGGGGGGGGGCACTCATTCCTACCTAAACTCCATTCTCAGGTTGAGCTAGAATCATCCTCCCTATGTTCCTTGTCCTTTGGGTACAAGTGTGCCCTGCAAAGGCTTTGTGAGTGTCTGTCTCATTGAGGGGGGAGATGTCAGCTGAGATAGACTGAGGCTGCAGCAAGTGGAGGTCAAGCCTCCACCTCCTGGCTCATCCTTTTTCTTTCCCCAGGACTGTCTGATCCTCAGGAACTTCTCCTCACTCCATGCCATTCTCTGTGCTTTGCAGAGCACTTCAATCAGTCATTTCAAAGACACTTGGGGAGAAGTGTCCAGGTGGATATTCTTTCCAATAGCAGCATCAGGGTAGATCTGGGACTTCACACAAGAATGAGAATTGCCCCCTCAGTGAGCCTGCGACGTACTGGGAGGAGGCCTGGGAGCAGGAACGGCTGGACAGGGTCTGGAAGCCTCCATGTGTCCTCAGACCAGCGGTTCAGTGTCAGGACTCTATTCCCTGGTCTGTCAGATACAGGGTGGAATCAAACAACTGATTGTCAAGGGCTCACTTTAAATCCCTGTAACTTTGTCCAGTTGAAATTAAAAAAGTCAGAAAATCTAGCTGTTCAGTGGAAATGGGATGCGGGATCCTTGTTGCGCCAACCTAAGACCTCAACATCCCAGTCTCAGAGAGCTCTTGTGGACTCAGAGGACCCCAGTTTGTAAACCACTCATCCCAATAGTTTATCCTTGGGGCTCTCAAACCAAAAGGAATTTGACTCATACCTCTCTCTGCATCCCGAAATTTCAACTTCCTTCTTTCCTGTCCTCTTAGCCACAGCTCCTAGACCTTTAAAAAGCTACGTAATTTGGAAATCGATTTGGCGCTTTCTTAAAAAGCTAGAAATAGAAGTACCATATGATCCAGCTATCCCACTCGTTGGAATATATCCTAGAGAAATAAGAGCCACCACACGCATAGATATATGCAAGCCCATGTTTATTGCAGCACTGTTCACAAAAGCAAAAAGATAGAAACAACCTAGGTGCCCATCAACAGATGAATGGATAAACAAATTATGGTATATCCACACAAGGAATACTACACAATGATAAAGAACAACCATGAAGCCATGAAACATAACATGGAGGAATCTGGAGGTCATTATGCTGAGTGAATTTAGTCAG